TTCGACTCACGTTTTGTATGTCGACCCTCTTGTACTCGATCTGATAGGTGATGATCAGACCGTTGGGCTGCGGTGGCTCGTCCCATTGAAGCGTGACCATGGTCAGGCTGTTGTTCTCGCCGGATATGCTCATCTTGAACGTATTCGGGGGAATGTTGTCGGCGCTCTCCAACGGCAACGTGCGATACGTCCTCATACTCTTGGTCGAGCATTTCTTGTACGTGTCGTTCATCTCCTGCGCCCTGCACGCCTGCACCTCGATGTTGTACGCGGCGAAGTGGCGGAGATCTTTCATCACGAACGAACGATTCGTGCTAGGCACGTTCTCCTCGAATATTACGTACGTACCGTTCACCTTCTTGTTCATCACCGGCTGCCGATGAAGAAACGAGATTCGTTAGGCATAGAAGAGAGAGAGACGAATGAAAAAAGGAAAGGAAAGGAAATACCTGATCCAACGATTTCGTTTTCCTGAACAATATATCCGAGACGTCCCGTTTCCGCCTAGGTTTACGTTTCACGTACACTTGGTTGTGCAACGCGTCCTCGAAATCGATCGCGCTCGACGCCTCCTTCTCCCTCAGGGATTGATCGGTCTCTCGATCGGCGCACTCGCAGGTCCCGGTTTCGGGTACCATCTGCTGCTCCTTCTCCTCCTCCATCCGTTTCCTCTCCTCCTCGGCGAGCGTGATCGGTTTCTTGTCGGACAGCATCATGGCTGGAAAAATTAAGGAAAAAGCGTGAGGAGAGGAGTGAGAATATTCCGAGCTTCCCACCCAGAGAGAGAGAGAGAGATTCACTCACGTTCCTCGCAATAGTTTCGCTGATCGATGAAATTCGGATCGTCCGGCTCCCATCTGCCGATGATACGATAATGGGTGAGGTTGCCGTTGTTGTGGAGGGGCGGTAGCCAGGACATGATCAACTCGCTGCTCGAGTTGCTCCAGGTGATGAGGGATCTGGGCGAGCTGGGCGCCTCGGGCATCGTTCTGAAGTAGGTGAGGTTGCTCTGCGCCCCGGACCTCTCGGTCGCGATCGTGTAAGTCTTCACGTAATACGCGTACTGGGTGTACGGCTTCAGCTGGGACAAGTAGTGGGTGTGCACGCTCTTCTCCTGCCTGTTGTCCATCAGGCTCGAGTTGGTGCTCGCCGACACGTCGTCCACCTTCCAACCGTCCCCGCCGCAAGCGTCCCTCCCGTCGTACATGGTCACGTTCCTGTTGGGCGCCTCGATGAAGTACACCACGTAGCCGAGCAGGGATCTGGCGTCGTGGTGGACGAACGGCTCCCACTCGATCACCGCGCCCCACGGCGACTTCTTGCCACCCGGGTCTTCAACTCGGTCACGTTGCACGCCACCTTGTCCCCGTTGCTGTTCGGCGCCACCTCGTAGTCCGTGAACGGGCCCAGCCCCGCCTTCTCCCTCAGCATCTCGATCTTGTAGAGGCACAGTTTCGGATTCAGGTGGAAGAATATCTTGCCGGGCCCGTCCTTCGACAATATCCTCATCTCCTTGTGCAAGCTCCAGTCCCACAGCTCCTGCAGATTCTGATTGTCCATCACGAGGAGGGTGTACTTGGAGTTGTCGATGTCGTTCCCCCGTATCACCCGAAGATTCTTGAGAAAGTTGAGCGAGATGAGGGGGAAGCTGCGCACGATCTTCAGGTAACCGTCGATCTCCTCTATCGTGCTCAGCCCGTCCTCCAACTCCTTCACGATGTTCTTCCCGCCCCGTATCTGGATCTCGAGGCTGCCCGTGATGTGGGTGCAGCCGCGCAGCTTCTGGGCCGAGGCGATGCTGTCCACGTTCGCCCCGGCGCACTCCTTCTGGCACGATCCCTCGCACTTCTTGCACGACACCCTGCCGTTCCACTCGTCGTCCATGTAGCCGGGCGGGCACTCCATCACGCAGCTCCCGTTGAAAGGCTTGTAGGGGAAGTTCTTCACGTTCTTCAACACCTCCCTCGGCTTCTCCATGCGCAGACACCTCTCCTCGTCGATGCAACGGTGATTCATGAACTCGAGGCTACCGTTCGGGCACCGCTCCCTGCACTCCGACTCGGCCGTCACCACGTCCTTGCACACCGTGCAGTCCCGATTCGTGGGCCCGCTGCACGTGCCCAGGCACGACGGGTGGCAACAATTCCCGCTCTCGTCGCACGCGTTGTTCTCGCACTTCCGGTCGCAGACTGAAACCAAAACGCGCTCGTCAAAACAGAGAGCCGCATCCCCCTTTTCCCATTTTTTCCTTCGTAAAGAGGATCCGCGCGAAATAAGCGTAGCGGTAAACAAGGTTTCGCGTGTTTCTCCAGTCCCGTCACGTTCTCTCTTTCTCTCCGCGGGGGACACGCGTCTCCAACTTTCCCCGAGTAATTTTTGCCCGAGGGGAAACGCTCCTTTTGCTCAACGATCGATAAAACGCGCGTCGGATGGAAGAGGGGCCCCTCTCTCTCTCTCTCTCTCTCCTATTTTTCGCTCAGGATTCGAGGGAAAGGGGAGAGGATTTTTTCGAGGATGCCTCGATCGATCGAAATCGTTAATTCGTCCCCCACTCTCTTTCTCTCGTCAATTTGCTTGAGCGTAATTTAGGAGGCGTAGCGCCCACGGCGTAGAGCCACCGCCTACGACGGTGGTCGCGCCGCCGTCAATTCTCGTCGCCCCCCTTTCCTCCCCGTTTTCCGCAAGGCCGACGAATAATCGGATAATTTCGGGAGGAGTAGCGGGTCGCGGCGACGATACCGCAGCTTTTGTCTCGAGAACCCCCAATTTCTCCCCTTGACCCCTTGCATTCCATCCGTCTTTTTCGCTCCACGCGTGAATTTTTTTAACGCGTTCGTCGCCCACCCTGATTCACTTTGATCGAGTTTCAAAGAGTCGAATGTTAGGAAAAGAAGGTAAACTTCGAGGAGCGATAAACCGAAGCAGTTTTAACATTTTTTTTTTTTTTATTTTGCGCGTATTTTAAAATAAAATAAATCTTAGTTCGGTTCTTAGTTTTCGTTAAATATTCTGGTTTGAATAGAGAAGCCTCCAATTGGCTGGCCAACTTCGACTCCTATGGTATAATTTTAGATTTGAAGATTGTAGAAAGACGAAGAGGAAGAGCGACAGATTAGCAACTTTTCCGTTGCTCTTAATCTACATTTTATTATTATTTTAGGGGGGTTGCATATTGCAAAGGGTTAAAATCTTATTTTTCTCGACGTGGGTGACGTGGCGACGAACGTGTTAAAATTCGATTTCACAAAATAACGCGTAAAACTTTTATATTTTACCGTATTTAGGAAAGAAAATTTAACTCGAATATTAAATTCTTTCAGAAATGATCTCGTTAACGAAAAATCAAACTCGCTCGATGAACCAATTTCACTTACAAAACTTTGAAAATAATAATATTTTGTCCACCATGACTGTAAAACTCGGACTAACGTCGAAGTTCACACGCGAAGAGGGATATTTAAAAAGGATCAAACGTCGAAATAAATATCGTGGCCGAGTTCGGGGTCATCTCTCGAGTTATCGCGTCGAACGCGAGAGTTCAAAAAAAAGGGAGAGTTGCAAAGTTTCGCGCGAAAAAAACTCGCCAATTTTTCCTTCCTTCCTTTCTCGATGGAGTGGGAACGAAACTCGTCCTTTTTCTTCGACTTATAACGAAAATGAAAGAAAGAGAGAAAAGGGGAAAGGAATTACTTCGTTGGCAGTGTTGCTGGTTCCAACAGAGGTATTCATCCTGCTTGGTCAGTCTTTGCGGACAGTGTTTCTCGCACACCGGGCACCCGTTTTTTGGATTGTTCCCCTGTGAACAGAAAGCAAGGAGAATCAGGATACTTGTATATTTATATATGTATATGTGTGTGTGTGTGTGTGTTCGAAATTTTCGGTTCGAACAACACGGAAGGATGACCAAAAACCGGGGAACAAAGGGTAGGCAAGGATAGTTTGCCGCCCCCTTGTTAGCTTATACGCGAGCCAAGGGAATTCCTCAAGTTCCGCGGAGGCTGTGGAGCGGAAAAGGCCGGATCGATACGTCTGGCGCCTTGTATTATTTATTTTTATCGCCGTATCGCGTACACGTACGCGTCTTTTCCCAACCCAAACTTTTATTTTCATACACCTAGCCTAGGATCACCTACGTCTCTTCCTATTCGCCAACCCGGATCCACTCGAATTCTCTCTCGGTTCGCCTTCGTTCCCGTTGCGAACGATTTCCAACACGGTTCCAGCCACGTGTCGCGGCGACTGTCAACCGAGTTACGCCCGTAATTCTCTTTCCTTCTCTTTCCTACGGATTTACAAACGGAATCGAACAATTTTTTCAGGGGCAGGGGAAAAGAAGAGGGGAGAAATATTCGTTGAATATTCGTTGATATCCAGCGTTGGAATATATATATATATTTTTTTTTAGGCTCAAAATTCCAAAAAAGTCTAAAATATCAAAGAGATGCGCGTCATCCGGTCAAATCGAACTTTATTTTTATCAAAAAAAAAAAAAAGAGAGATGCATATATTTTCGTATATTTTTTCCACATGTCTCTCGCGTACACGGGAAACATTTCCAATTCGAAAAAAAAAAAAAAAAAAACCGTTCCAACCCGGGAGAACGAGTTGGATGGCATTTTTCGTCGAAAATTTGAAACGTATAAAAAAAAAACCCCCTGAACAAAGATATCGAAACAGAGATGGAAAGCTAAAAAAAAAAAAAAATTCCGAAATTGGGATAAAAAAAAAAAAAATGAATTTTTCCAAAGCGATCGCTTGTAGCCACCGTCACGAAACAACTTTACGGGCGATCTCGGTTCGAAAGCTCGAAACTTGGCGACGAACCCTCGACCCTCGACCCTCGACACGCTCGAATTTTTTAGCACGCCAGCCGGAAACTAATTAACCCTCTGACCCGGTCACGTTCCATCGATCACCCTCGCGACCCGCTCCCGCGACAAGCGCTCCTCCCCCCGCTCCATCTCGCCTCTCTCCCTCGCCTCTGAAGAGAAATGAGATATTTATCAGGATTCCCATGGCTCCGGAGGTTGCGAGACGGTTGCCCCCCAACAGACCGAGAAACTCGAGCTATGATTTTGTAACGCGTGAACGGCCATCCCCTCCCCCTCCTCTCTCTCTCTGTCTAAGAGTCGTTTTAAATCGAATGGAGTCGAGTTTAACTTAACAGGAATTCGAACCTCGACTCGAATACAGGGAATATAAACGAGAGATAATCTTTCTCTTCGTCTGTTATACACGTGATCAACAGGTCACGATCGTGCCTCCTCTCTCCTATTCCTTCGCGTGTCCTTGTCGTACCCGCGATTATTATTCGTTGGTTTTGGGCGATTTTTGACTCGTTGAAAATAATAATAATAATAATAATAATAATAATAATAGTAGTAATAAGAAGCAGTTAAAAATTAACGGTTAAAGTTTTACTTTAAATAATATCAAATCCGTCAAAGCGTCGGAACAAGCGTAGCTTATTCGTAGCTTCGTTAATAATCGATATACGATCTTGTTCGTATATTAGCTCCGCCTGTTTGCCGCGAGAGTACAAGTTATTTACGGCTTGCTTCGAATAATAAAAGAAAAAAGATTGTCGAGGAGACTTTGTTCTTCGGCAACTTCAACTTCGATTAAATCTCGCCCGTCTTTATTAATTCCACATTGCGTGGAAAATACGGGCAAGTAATAAAGTGCGCCCGTGGGTTTCGTTCAAATTTCGAAAAAAAAAGTAATTATATAGACTCGCGATATATAAAGGGGGAAGAAAATTGCACCGTCGAATATGTGTATAAAATCCCCTGAAAAAAAAAAAAAAAAAAAAAGAAAGAAAGAAAAAATTAGATACGAAGAAGATAA